GATGATTTTTTTTCATTGTTTAAAGTTTATACAGGTGGAATAAATTTTGATAAATTTTCATTGTGCTATGCCACAGATCTTTTTTTTTTTTTCATGTTATGTATGTATAAAATATTAAAGAGAAACTGTCTCCTACACATTTTTTTGATGCCCACTACTTTATCAAATAAAAGTTAATAATCACTAAGGCCAGAAGGTATTTCTGCAACTCCCTAGAGGCTACCACTGTTTTGTACAAACTAAGGCATCATGCTAATCATCAGCTTACAATACACTGTGCCCAGTGCAGGGCAGTGCCTTCAGATGTGGTGATTACATTATAATTTATATTGTTCCAATCCCAGTTGTACTCTCCAAATTTTCAAAAGATAATTATTACTAATACATTTGTTGCAAACACAAAGTCAAAGATAACTGACCTGAAAGCCCACAAGTGGATTCTGCAGTTGCATTATATCATTTTCTAGACTGTACAAAGCAAAGACTGAGTAGCTATATATATGCACACTCAAAAAAGTCCATAAGGACATCATCACCCAAATAATTCATTGCCTTCTAACAAAACACTTCATGTTATCTCGAACGATTCTAGCAAAATACACAATTTATTACTTATGAATATTTTCCATTTAAACACTAACATACCAAAACTAACTTACCAAGCAACAGATTATGGTTAAAGTATGCTCAATATCATCAGTGGTGTAAGCGATGGCTAAATATCAGAGTTTCCTAGATGATAGTATGTCAGTATATGAACACACTCAGATAATAGCAGGTCAGTATACAAGCATACATATGTTTAGAATAGAGCCAACAGGAAAAATTTCAACTGCAGGGAAATAAACTTCCTTAGATTGTTTTTTAATGAGAAAAAGAAAGCAAAAAGTTAATGTATCTATATTCAGACTATGAAAAAAGCTTTAATAACATAAGATAAACTCTCTACAAGAACCAGTACAATAGCTAGCATTATTTATTTTTTTAACAAGTTTATTTTCTTCTGTTTCCAGATTCAGTGAAGCACTTATTTACGTAAAATTATTTGGTAATGGACCCTGGATCTATTCCATCTGAAATACTAAAGCGACATGTTAAATATTTACATGTACTCCTTTTCACAAAAACATGAAGGGAGACTGTGTCTGTGCCTTACAGTTTTAGCATGCATCCCACACCTTACAGTTAGATAAGAAGTTTCAGTGTACACGATGTGAGGAGCAGGTTAGAAGACTGACTGAAGAGTCAATAAAACAATTATTTTGATTTTTCTTTTTAAGGCAATTTCATTAGCAGTAAAATTAGAAATAACTTTTTTGAAAAGTTTGGCTTCTGAAATATGTTTTGGAAACACAGTACTGTTAATGAATATTCAAAGAACAGTATAGAACAACATAGAAGTAAAATCATCTTATGTATAATACCATAAAAGTATGGAGCAGTAAGAGACACATGGATGCCTTCTGGATGAAAATAAACCACAGCATGAAAAGCACAGAGAAACTTCTTTCTGAAAAATTATGCTACAGACCTTTGTAATGGGCATATCTTTTAAAAACATTTAAAAGATTTTATTCCATCATAAAAGGCATGAAAATTTAAAGTGCTCATTACTTTTTTTTGGCTAGCATTTTCAGATTTTAAAAATATTTGAAGAAAAAGTTATAAAGACAGACCCCACTATACATGAAGGGTGGATTCCTGAGACGTGAAACAGTTAGGTATTTGTCAAATAAAGCAATTCTTCCTCATTAGAATAAGCATAACAGATGCATGTAATGACTTACAAAATACACATATTTAAATACACACAGGCAAAGTATGAAGGATGAAGCATGAAGGATGAAGCATGAAGGATGGAAACAAAGGAGAAAATTATCAGCATTGTCACTGAAGTGCTACTTCTAATACCTGACAATCATCTCATTTTTACATCTTTCATTGTGACTGATTTGATTCACCTGAGGATTCAAATGAAGATGGTGAAAATGTAAATGCTAGAAAAGAGGCAGAAGACGACTGTCATAGAAGATTTATATCAGGCCTTCAGTGTCCTAGAAGAATCAACTGAGATCTTTTGAAACAGTGATCCAACCTAAAATGCCTGCATCTACTTCAGCTGATGTTCCTGCTCCCGCCTTGCATCCCCCATACTATGTATACTATCCCTGCCTATTTAAATTGTGTGCATGCATCCACATGCTATAACGTTAATTGTTACAGGAAAAACCGCTGTACTGCTAAACCCAGGTACTTCACCTATTACACCAGTAAAGGCTAGAAAGCAGGGTAATGATTGGCAAAGCAACTCTGAAACTATAAATACAGCAGCAATACATATAAGAGTCTTCCTGTCTGAGAAGTGCATACATTACAGAGGCTGACAAGGAAAATAAAGTTTTGAAGCAACAATCAATTTAACGTAGAGTAAAACACAACGAAAGGCACCTGCCTGGACGAGGTGGTTTAAGTGTATAGTTGATGAAAGAAAGCTCATGAGTTTTCATTGGAAACAATATATGCAAAGAGCAATGAGCAAGATCCAGCACGAGGAAGTGCCCTTTCCTTTGTTTATAATAAGGCCACGTATCTTCTGCGCACTTTGATAAGGAGAGATAAAACAAAGCCCACTGCTGGGCTCCAGAGTCTGCAAGAAGAGCAGCAGCAATTGCAGCGATAACTCTTGGATTGGTGTTCTCTCTCCTCTGCACCTTCTCTGATTCATCATAAAGAAAGACTGACTAGCAACAATAAGCAAAAGAAAACAAAAAATGAATACTTCACAGTCCCAGAATTTTTGGGCTTTATTGTATTTATCTTTTTAAACTTCCCAATATTTCTGGTTTAACTACAGTTCCTTTGAAAATCTAGGAACTAAATTTTGGGTCACATGTAAATAATGGTTTCCAAATTTTTCCTTTTCTGAAGACCATTTTTTTTCCACCTCCATTCCTCCAAAAGTTTAAGAACTACAAATACACTACACTTCAGATTTGTGTTTCTACCCTATAAAGTACATACGGAACTGTAGAAATCCTTAAATAGTATTTGAAGATGAGTTTCAAATTAAAAAAATAAATTTCAATGCAATGAGATGAGTCCACGGCAGTAAAAAAATTGATTTTCACCTAGGTCTCCCCTTGACATTCTTCTTGATTTTTTTTTTTTTATACATAACTCTACTTCACCCTCTTCCCCAAAAGAAAATGATGAATTATGCTACTGGTGGTATTTTAAAGTAAAAAGGAGAGCATGATGAAGCAGATGGTCTTTATACACTTAAGTTACTATGTTGCTCTACATTAATACTTTGTACATATTAATAATTTCCCATTACCAGAGTAATAAAATTTCAAGTTTGTGAACCATTTTACATACGCATTTCTTAATAATGCCTGAAATTGGTTTATGGTGGGTTTTTTTTGTTCTTTCATTACTTCTTTACTGGATGTAAGCAGAGTTTTAGCAATGAGATGAGATTTTATGAATTACGTTGCAAATTAGGATAGCAAGAGAAAATAGCACTTTTCCATTCTACATTCATCCTGTTCATCAAACTTTGTAGTTGCACTCAGAGTAGACTGTTACTTCAATTTTGCCAATGATTACACACGCTCTCTTCACTATTAAAACTCTGACCTACTTGATTCCGTGTCCTAGCTGAAAAATATTGTGAAAACAGCAAGTAGTTTTAAATGATTTTACTTGGTCTATGTAAATAATTTCAATTATTAAAAAGTCTCTATTGGAAAGTTTTTTATTTTGTAAACTCAAGTTTTAGGCAGATGGTGTTGCAAAGTAATTCTGACAAAGTACCAGTAATATTGCTGTTACTCACTGATATTGTTTTTTTATTTATTGGTTACCACAGCACTGTGACTGTATGTGTCAATACGTATGCATATGTTCTTCTAATAAAGAAGATCATTATTCGGGACTTCATACCGGATTATTGCAGTGGTCCTCTTTATTATTAATTACATCTTTTCTTGTCATGTGTTGAGTCTTCTCCAGTCATACCATAAAAATGTAAATACATCAAAGCTAAAACTCACAAAATAGAACTCATCTGAATCAATAATTACTACAAGTTACATCTATAAAAGTTCACGCTGATAATACAACCAAGTCTTACTCTGTCTCTTGGAACAGCCAGGAGGAAGAAGGGTAATTACAAGGAACTTTATGTAAAAACAGATGTAAAAGTATCTCAATATTATTGAAAAATGATATTTCACTGACACAAACAGCATTTGCCTGAAATAAATATGACAAGAAGTATCTGCTAAAACAGAAAAATCTCCATTTATGCAATACTGTTTGAGGCTAAAAAAGTAAATTTTAGTAATTTCTACGAATGCTCAAATGTTTAACCTAGTACCGTCTTATACTTTTCCTCATTTCTCCTTAAAAATGAAAAGTAAGATCAGAATTAACAGGAACCTACCGCTTTTTAAACTTTTTTATTTTTAAAAACAAAAAAGAAGGTAAGTATTATTTTGACGTATTTACAACCATGTTGTTAAAGCATTTCAAACTTATCTATAATTTACCATTTGCAGATCAGGCCTTCAACTTTTCAAAGACAGTTATTATCAAAGAATGCCAAATCTGAAATTACGAATGTTAGGTTCTTGCAAACACATACATACAACACTTGGTTTAAAATCCTGAAAGGGGGGCAAAATCCACTAGAGTTCACAAGCTGGGAATCATGCAAGATTTTATATAGAGGTTATACAGAGATGAGGTGCTCCAGTAATAAGACTAAATGGGAGAAACCAAAAAATTTAATGAGCCCATTGCTTAAGATACTTCAGATGCATTAATGTTTTAATAACTTTGAATTGAACATCACATATTAGAACATAACCAATGTAATTAGAGACTCAGTAATAACATTTCAGCTGCTTCATCAAGACTTTTACAAGAACTTTTATGAAAGGACTAGTGTACCTATGAGGAGATAGGAATACAGACATTTAAAACATTAAGCATACCTGTGTTCGCAGAATTTCCCCTTTTGACAGTTGCATATCACCAGTCAACTCTTTCACAGTAATGCCGAGTGGTTCCAGACGCTTGCTGAAGTAATTTGTCATTTCAGCTGCCAAAGCCTTCATAGGAGCAACATACACAATCTGCACCAAAAGGACACTCACTTGATAAATGAGCAAACCCCACAATGTTGTTTGTTTCATGGCAACCATTACAAATCACAATTTATTGTGAAATATGATGCCAGCCGCTTACAGTGAAAAATCTTAATAGTGATATATGAAAAGTAGTTATCTTTGTTGGATAAGTGCACAGCTGTTTAAAGGACAATGGATTTTGTTTATACAGCCTCATCACTTTGAAAATTGGTTCTGCATCAAAGCTAAATGCATTTTCATAGCTTTTTACTCACATAATAAGATTTTTAGAACACAAATAAGAATAGCTTTAATAATAACAAAGTAAATCAAAACTAGCCTTATCTTTGACTTGGAAAAGCGTAATACCCTTGAAAACTTCCTGATTTCATATTCCATTTATAACATATAATGGGTTTTACCTTGCAAGTTAAAAAGCTGTTACTTGGTTCATTAAACTCCTACCTTAAACTCATCCTTTTTGATAACACCGTGCTGGACATGCTGGCGAATTTCATGAAGGACTGTCAGCATTGCAATGTTAGTCTTCCCAGCTCCAGTAGGGGCACAGATTAGCATGTTCTCGTTTGTGTTGTAGGCAGTCTCAAAAACTATAGATTGAATTCGGTTTAGTCTTTTCATGCCTTTAAAAGCAAGTTGTCCAATCTGTTAAAACAAACCACACACATATTTTGGTTTTTTCATATACGTAAAAACATGCGTGTGTGTATGTATGTCTCTATAAATCTATGAATCACAAGAAAAAGAACACATGGTAACAGAACTTAGGATACCTGTTGAAATATATTTATTATTCCAAGGTTTTTATTCTGAGGCTACCTCTCCCACCCAACTCTCAAATATTGAATCCATAAGGAAAACAAAGCAGGATAACATCTGTTAAAACTAATCAAAATCTTTGGTCACATGCTATTTCAGCTTTTTTTTTTTTTTAATCAAGAGTGTGACCAAAAGTAATATACAGTAAAACAACATATTAATAATTAAATATCAGTAAAATGGCAATCATCAGACTAGAAGAATACATGTCTTTAAATCCAAGATGACAAACTACAACTACTCTAATGGAAGAAGAGGCAGCAATACACAGGAACCTGCTGAAGAAACAGATGATTTTAAAAATTATTTATGATCAATTTTGTGCAAAAAAGTTTAATTATGTAAATACGCACACACAAATTCAGTAACAACCTTCTCTTTGCTTCTGAGGAAATCTCAATCTTGCAATTGTTAATGTTCAGACTTTCCTCCAACAGTATTTACAAGAAACTGCAGTCTCCAAGAGGAACATAAAACGTGTATGTGTGGTCTCAAGTAAATTTTGATAATGTTTTCAAAAATTAAGTTATATAGTTAATACAAGTAATTATAGTTATTATCTTTTAATACATGTTTAAATCTTATAAAATACATTTCCCCAATTATAAAATACTTTGTTTATGTTGGTCTCTCTGAAAAATTATATTTTCACCAAGAAAGAACTGCTGTAGACAGTTACAATTTCTGCATTTGAAGAATCTAAAACTTTTGCAAGTGAAGATCAGACCCTTAAGATATAAAATTAATTTTCTAATAATCTTGCTTTTTCTTAGTTGCTTTTCACACTTAAAAGAGACTGCAGAACACAGAATTATTTCCTTTCTACAGATTTAATTACCAGCACTGCTTCTACTAAAAATCATGAAAAGTATCTTGCTGATATTTCTGACAACTACAATTTTTAAGTGTAGTAAACCACAAAAGTACAAATTCACTGTAAAGAACCGTCCTGAAAGCACCTTCTGATGATCACCCTTCCATTATTCCAGGTGCTTTAGTTAATTTACAGTCATTTGCTATGGTAATAGCCTCACCAATACTAATAATATTCTTTCCAATTCTCTCCAATACAAGCAAATTATTTGAGCAGGACCCAATTTAATGCTACATGTACTGGTTGTGGCTGGGATGGAGTTAATTTTGTTCATAGTAGCTACTACGGGGCTATGTTTTGGATTTGTGCTGAAAACAGTGTTGATAATGCAGAGATGTTTTTGTTATTGCTGAGCAGCGCCCACAGACAGTCAGGGCCTTTTCTGCTTCTCACCTCACCCCACCAGTGAGTAGGCTGGGGGTGCACAAGAAGTTGAGAGGGGACACACAGCTGGGACAGCTGTGCCCAACTGACCAAAGGGATATTCCATGCCATATGATGTCATGCTCAGCATATAAAGCTGGGGGAAGAAGCAAGGAGGGAAATGTTAGCCATGATGGCATTTGTCTTCTCAAGCAACCACTACACATGACGGAGCCCTGCTTTCCTGGAGACGGCGAAGTAGTAGCGAATGAATTCCTTGTTTTACTTTGCTTGCATGTGTTGCTTTTGCTTTACCTACTGAACTGCCTTTATCTCAACCCATTAGTTTTCTCACTTTTATCCTTCTGATTCTCTCCCCCATCCCATTGTGGGGGAAGTGAGCAAGTGGCTGGGTGGGGCTGAGCTGCCGGCTGGGTTAAACCACACCACCACTACCTCAAGTAATGCAAGCTTAGAAATGAGGGCTTCATCAGTTACTCAAATCAACTCTTTTATTTAACTTGTGACCAACAGCACTAGGTCTATCGTTTTGCTGCAGCTTCTTGGTAGCAGCCTCATGTGAAAGGCTGACATGTAACCAAATTTGGGTCAATACACTACTTTCACAATACATGACAATGCTCTACTCTTAAATGCAGACGAATGACACACTTAATGACTGGCCAACTGTAGTTTTATTCTAGAGGCCTTAATATCATAACCCAACATTCATTAATATAAAAATCAGTGAAAATGCTATGCAATCACCACACTATATCTTTTTGAAAAATGTGCTCTTCAATTTAGCAGTACTTTAGTCTTAGCAAAGCTTTCAGGTTGAAAACTTCTTGTGCAATATTGAAAAAACAAGTTTTATTCAAATCATGGATTGCATTTTTATTTATACGACTAATCCATGCTGGTTTACAGAAAGTCCATGAAATTCATGAAATGAGGTTCAGATGTCCCTCGTCCTGACATGTAAATACTCTCAAGGTCATCTTTCTCCTTTGCTGTACTTTGGAATGTTGTTGGTTAAAACACATATCTATGTGTACACACTCATATACACAAAAATATATACTTTTATATATATATGTATATACATATAGATATTTTAATAAATACATTCCCACTATCCCTCCAAATTACGAACTTTTAGTACTCTCTCCTGCTTTCTAATTATGCCTGTACACACTTAAAGCTCTTTGTGCCAGCGCAAATCCTATTTTGCTACCAAAGGTACACTCAGAAAAAACCCACAGATGTCACACCTGGTGATTTTCACAGACTCCCTCTCCTGAGGATACTTTTCATATTCTGCTACTTTGATGGAGGTGGTAGCTCATGAGATTCAGAAACAATAATAAATAAAAATATAACTATATAAATACCATAAAAGGTATTTTTATATTATCTAAGAAGTACTATTTGAGAATATAATTTCCTGCCTGCTCCAAAGACTGAAATGTTGTCTTTCAAACTATGTATGTACATTTTAAGCAAAGGGTCATAACATGTAAAAGAAAAACTGCATGATGGTTAGATCTGTTCCATTTAGCACCAAATCATATCAGTGAGTTTTCACTGGACTTAGAGGGACAATTTTTGTAGGAACAAGTAGCATATACAAAGATATGAAAATTATACAAGTGTACCAGATAGAGCTTAGGATTGGCTTCAGGCTATAATCAGCCAATACAATTTCTTCATTTAAGCATAAATTATGTCTCATCCCAAGTTTAGTACCTGAAGAGTTATGTGCTATAAAGGAAACTTGGAGTAAAACACATTAGACAGATGCAAGTAACAAAAGGCACCAGGGAATCAGCAGCTGGTTTCAAAGCTATACGTGCTACAAGTGATTAGACAGTAACTAAAAGCAATTCTTGCATGGTATGGCTATCTATGTCACATAGATCATAGAATCATTGAGGTTGGAGATCATCTAGTCCAACCCCCCTGCTCAAAGCAGGATCACCTACATTAGATGGCCCAGGACAGTGCAGTTGGGTTTTAAATAACTCCAAGGATGGAGACTCCACAATTTCTCTGGGCAAGGTACACCAGTGTTTGCCCACCTCACAATAAAAAATTATTTTCCTATATTTTAATTTGTGTGCATTGCCTCTGGTGCTGTTGCTGGGTACCACTGAGGAAAGTCTGGCTCTCTCTTAGTTAATCATTCTCACAACATCATCATCATAGAATAGCATAGCCCCTGGATCATCTTTGTGGCCCTCCTCTGAACACGCTCCAACCATCAGGTATTTATATACACTTGTAAGATTCCCTCTGAGCCTTCTCTTCTCCAGCTCTCTCAGCCTCTCCTCATACGAAAGATGCTCCGGTCCCTTAATTAGACTAAGAAGCCAGAAGAAATTCCTAGAAATGACAGACAATGAACCATAAAGGTAAAATTATGGTCTGAAATCCTACAGAACACAGAATCACAGCCCATGAGACTTTCCTGAATATGTTTTTATTTTGAATTAAACATCATCTTTCAGAAAACTATGGAGTCTTGATTTTTAAAATTATCACCACATTCATGGTTAATGCAATAGGTATTTAAATAACAGCAGCCATCAGAAACCAGGGAAATTTTTATGCTTGCAAGTTGTATTAGTGTCATTTAACTCAAAACAAACACTAAAATTTTCCTAGATTCTGACAAAGAATTCACAAGAATAAAAAAGTATCCCAAGGGGAAAAAAAGAGAATATATGAATGTTCATTATATATGAAAGTACTACCTCTGCTTGAAGCTATCGTAGCACACAAACTACAAAAACGGTTTTACTTTATTTGGAATGCTGCTTTTAAATCCTTATTAAACATTTCCCCTCCAGACTTTTGGACTTCATGTTTGCCAAGACACTGAAACTGTTATTTTTCTGACAGTTATTCAGTTCTCAGAAACAGGAAAATTCTGGACAGCTCATGACAGTGAGTGCTCTTCAACAAACAGACTTTCATTAGAGAAGAACCAGTCTCCATCCAGAGGAATCCCCGAACAGTTCCATTAAAAAATTGCAGGGAAATCTAGTATTACATTAATCTCCCCCTAACTATGGTAGAATAAGCACCCCTTGGAAAAAAATAGCCAATTAAAAAAAAAAATAAAATCAAAGAATAAAACCCTCCCATGTCTGTCTGTTTTTCTTTTTTCTTTTTTTTTTTTTGTTTTTAAATCATCAGTCCTGCCATCTGCTCTCTTGAAGAAAGAAGAGAGATCTATTCAAAAGCAAGAGTTTTTAGGGAAAATATTTAACTTCATATATGACAGCTAAGAGCTAACATGCCTGAAGTAATTTCAACAAAATCCTTTTAAGTCTATAGATGTATTGCCACCAACATTGTCTAAAATATTCCCTTGACAAGCTATGCTATACAAACAACTGCAGCAGTCAGACCTTTTCTACAGATTTCTGAATTATTCAACCACTGATATATATTTAAAAATGAAACACTGAAAAAATTTATTTAGTTCAATTTATAGATTAAAACCAAAAGACTTCTGCATGTATAAACCCAAAATCAGTTTGATGGAAACAACAGGAAAGCACCATAGCTCCAAGGCTTTCACTGCTTTGAGTTAAAACACTGAAACAGCTTGGGGAATATCCTCCCCTCACTGGGAGAAGTGTTGTGTTCCTGAATCTAGTTA